AGGAGTAACTGACTTTCAAGATGCAGATTTTTGAAAATCAAGCATTTCCATTTGCTTAAGACAAGCCTGTTTAATAAAGAAAAAAGTTCTTGGAATTAAGTTCTCACCTTGGAAATACTTAAAAATTAATAGTTGAAGTATATCATTATTAGAAAACATCATTATGCACGTAGCCAATATTTGCAACTTTTTTCACTTAAACATGTTTTTTAGAAATCCTGTGCAAACCTATTCCATTCTTTCTCCGAGGACAACCGATTCCAAAGCGCATGCTCCCCCCCGAGGCGCTGGTGCCCTATTACACTGACGCGAAGAACCGCGGCTACTTGGCAGACCCTGCCGGGTTTCCCGAAGCAAGACTTGAGCTCGCCAAGAAGTACGGTTATGTCTTACCTGACATCACCAAAGACGAACTCTTCAGAATGCTCAGTGCTCGAAAGGATCCAAGGCAGATTTTCTTTGGTCTTTCTCCTGGCTGGGTGGTGAACATGGCCGACAGGAAGCTGCTCAAGCCCACCGATGAGGATCTGCTCCAGTACTACAGCTCGTGAGCCCTTCGCGGCGGGGCATGCCCCTCGGCAGGTGCTGCTGTTCTCTGCGGCAGCGTGTATCTTTCTCTGTTTCATCTAAATTGAAATAAAAATGCAGGAAGCAAGCACTGCATAGAGGAGCTGGATCTGTGTGCGTCCTCAGAGACCCAGGCTCCCTGGCTCTCTGCCCAAGGACGCGTGTAACTCTCAGAAAATTTCCAGTCGGGTTTTTCATCGTCTTTTCCTCCAGGTCTTGTCTCATCATGGCTGCAGGTCCAAGTGAACGTGCGGGGCGGTGGGGGGGGGTGGCGCTGCTGGGGCGAGGTCAGGGGCTGCCGATGAGCTGGTGAGCCTCTTAGTAGCCGCAGGGAAGCTCTGCTCCCCAGGGCCGGGACAGCAAGCCTTCAATCGGGCCGCTCGGAGGCGGGTGTGGGCTTAAGGCTGAGGCTGGTGAAGAGCTTGTAAGTAGTTCGGTGTCTGCTAGCAAAATAGAGACAAAAATTCCAAGCAAATTCAGTTTCTCAACTCTGGTGAGTCGACAAAAACGATCGAGCCATCAGCGAGGAAGGTAGATGTTCTAATTCTGATGGATGTGATTTGACCTTGGAAACCTTTGTCTTTCAGTCCTTGTAAATGATTTTGAAAAAGTGTTCAATGGTTATATAAGCCATAAAAACAATTGGTCATGTGAAAATTAAACCCGATTAACATGAAAGGCTCAGCAGTCAGTAAGCTCATTAGCTTTGTGAGGATCTGTTGTAGCTAAACCGTACGAAAGCTTAATTTGTCTCGATGCAGTTGAATCTTGAATAATTCATGATAATTCTTCTACAGTAGAAATAAAGTGATTGCTGTCTGTTTATTAAAACAAAAAAATTAAAAATCTGAGTACAGTTAACTTATCTACCTCATATATTGCTGACCTAAGTTTCATTCATTTTATTTTTCAATTATGTATATATTTTTTATTGAAGTATAGTCAGTTTACAGTGTTGTGTCAATTTCTTGTGTGCAGCGCAGTTCTTCAGTCCTGCGTGAACACGCACATACTCGTTTTCATTCTCTTTCACCAGGTGACTGCGAGATACTGAGCATAGTCCCCTGTGCTGCACAGTGTAAACTTGCTGTCTATCCATTTGATACACAGTGGTCAGTGTCTGCACCTCTCAAACTCCCAGTCCGTCCCTTCCCACCTCCTTCCCCCATTGGTAACTGTAAGTTTGTTTTCTGTGTCTGAATCTTTCTATTTTGTAAATAAGTTCATTTGTCCTTTTTTTTTTTGATTCCACGTATAAGTGACATCATATGGTATTTTTCTTTCTCTTTCTGACTTACTGCACTTAGAATGACGATCTCCAGGTCCATCACGTTGCTACAAATGACATTATCTTATTATTATGGCTGAGGAGTAGTCCACTGTGTAAATATACCACAACTTCTTTATCCAGTCATAAGATTCAGCTTATAAATAATTTATGTATCAAGAGTACATTTCAGTTTTTATCTAGTATTATATAGTTTGGCTTGTTTTTGGACCATTTCTTAGTAGAACCATCTCTGATAGTCACCTATGAATTTCAGAGGATAGGAAAAAATTTAAAAACATATTTTCACTTTACGGAGACACTACGTGACAGAGCTGGGGTCTTGGCTCCATTGATAAGAACCCAAGTCACAGTGGCTTGAGTGAGAGAGTTTCTTTTTCTCTCAGGATGGGGTGTGGAGACCAGTGTAGGTCTCTGAGCCCCTCCCCGCCCTCTCCTATCTCTAGAGCGAGATGTGTCTCTTCAGGATCCACAGGGACCAGCAAGGAGCCAGCTTTTCCTAAGAGAGCATCTGAAAGCTGCCACACGAAACCTGGACTTAGATCGCACTGGCCAGAGCTTGGGTCCAGCCCTTCTGTCTCACAAGGGGCTGGAGTCTTCTTTGGCAGCTTGTGTTCTTAGCTAAAAAATTGTTATGGGTGGGAAAAGAGAGTGGCCACACTGGACAACCAGTGAGGGGACTCACTCCTTTTTTGGTGTTGACCAAACTTCAGCCCTGAGGTTAATTGACTTACGGTAGACAAACATCTGGAAAAGTGCAGAATTCTTTAATTCTGTGTTTTGCAGCATACCCACCATTCTGGAATGCTGGGCTCAGTAAGTTACAGACCGGAGCTGGTTAGTTCATCAGCCTCGATAAGCACGGTGTCCTTGAGGGAGAGCGATGACAGCCCTGGAAGCCGTCTCTTCTCTGCCTGCCTTTTCTCAACGTTCTGGCGGTAAAGCCGCCTTACACTTCCTGTTAGGTCTCTGAAACGCCGTGTCTGAATAGCATGCACAGAAGAGGGGGTGACAGATTGCGCAGAAAAACACAAGGTGCAGAGAAACTGTTTATTGACGATGACAGCGACTCACTGGGTCAGGAGTAGAGTACATGTTCTTTTTTAAAAATCACTGCTGGTGAGAGTCCCAAAAAACTGCCTTTCATTGTTTTTGAAATTATGTAATGCTGAGTCTAAAAAGTTAAAAGTCCACATTCTCTGCCTGTTGTCAGCCCCCACCTCCTTCCAGAGGAAATTAAACCACTGTTGAGTCTGTCTGGGGTCTTTTTTTTTAATCAAAAAGGTGTAGACTGTGGATAAAGGCAACGACCTTCCTCATTGCATTTAATCTCTTTTCAGAGGCGCCTTCCTTGAGGGGCAGCTGCACCCTTAAACCACTGAATGAGGAGCCTGTAGCTAGTCACTTTGTCTTTTTACCTATAAGATGCAGTCACAACCTTTGTGTAATGCAGGAGTCGTGTTGAGTGGCGCCTGAAGTTCCTCTGGGCTCTAATACAGTGATGATGGAGCTGTTGCCTGGGGCCGAGGAAAACGCTGACCTCCACCTATTTGCATAGAAATGAACTTCCTTGTGTTTAAACACCTCCTGTTCTGTGTCGGGCCTGGAGTTGCAGACAGACATGCCAGCCCGCTTTCTGTGCCAGCAAGGGCATCGCTCCAGGGGGGCTGCCGCCCCGCCCACGTGCTGCTGGACGCCCTCTTTTTGTGATTCAGTTCACAGCTGTGTTTTGGAGGGACCGGTATCTTCAGTGTTACGGAGTCCAAACTTGTGCCGCTCGCCGCGTGACAGGCCAGTAAGTCGGGAGACGAGGTGTTGGGGCAAGGGACAGTGACTTTATTTGGAGAGCCAGCAGACCTGGCAGGTGGCAGGCCGATGTCCTGGACAACCGTCTTCCCCAAATCCGAATTCAGGCTCCTTTTATACTAGAAAGGGGGGGGGTGTGGTTGGCTTTTGCAGACATCTTGGTGTTGGAATCTTTTGTTCTTGCAGCTGTCCACGTGGGCCAGGTCACGGTGTCCCTGTAAACCTCCATCAAGACAAATGTTATTTTCTATCCTGCAACTTCTTATCTCTGTACAAATGGAAAAGTGTTACACCCTTAAGGGTCAGAGCCTTGAGAAGGGGCCGTCCTGGGCATTTCAGGCTACAGGCAACATCGTTTACAAAAGGTGCAGAAGCAGCACGACTGAGCCCTGGAAACAGCCCAGGGCGAGAGCCAAAGGGACAGATCGCCCATGGGGGCAGATGTGTTCTTTCCTATGACATCAGCACATGGTTCTCGGGATCCGGGCGAGGCAGCAGTCACATGAAGGTCGCGACATGGCAGGCCCTCCCGTCTCAGGACGTACTTGAGGCCCTTGGACGGGTCCCCAGAGCAGCAGTAGAAGGTGGAAGAGGAGACGGGCGAGCACCAGGCTGTCTTCCCTTGGCTGTCTTCAGCGGCCTTCAGGTGAGAGGAAACCAGGATGGACCGATAAAGGAAGACTGAAAACAGGAAACAGCTGTCTGGGGTCGCGCCCTGCTCAGGGAGCCCCTGTTCAGGGAGCTGGGGCTTAGTCACCCGCAGCTGTTTCCTGGGCTTGACACCACAGTCGTGCACATCATTCTCAGCTGAAACAGGCACGTTCCACACAGCCCGTCCCTCCATGGCTGCGTGGCAGGGAGGCTCCAGTTCAATGCTGCCTGGCGCCCTGGGCTGCTGGTCATTCCCAAGGGTGATGAGGGAGCATCCGGGGCCGGGGCAGCTGGAGCTTAGGAAGAGTTCACGCCACTTGGAGATCTAAGGATAAACGCAAGACACCCTGGGTTGTCACTGTATGTGGCCTGTGTGTGTCCAAGACCAGAGGCTCTCGGGTTGACAGGCATTAGCAAAGACCTTTGAGCACCTCGGAATTTCCTGGGTTTATTCTCCTTTCTTAACGTTGCTTTGTTCTTTGGAACATGGGGCGGCTCTGCAATGGGGGAGTTGTCAGATGCCAGCAGGGTGGCCCAGCCTAGCATGTGCCAGAGGGCAGGGCGTCCAGACGCAGGGCGGCCGTGTCTGGCTGCGTGGGCTGCTGTGGGCAGTAGCGCCCCAGGTGAAGCGTTGGCCCTCTGCTTTGGCAGACGAGGGAGGGACCCACAGAAGTGATGAGCGGTGACCTCTAACGTGCTTTCCAACCCTGCAGCCTCCGGACGATTCTCCTTTCTGCTCTAAGGAGGGAAAGTGGACTTTCAATGCCACAAACAAACTGTAAACAAAACCAACTTAGCCGTCAGAAATGAGGCAAGACTGCCACCTGGTGACCACATGCGAACACTTCCCAGGGTTTCCGGGTCTGACCCTGGTCCGGCTTAATCGGGATCCCTGATGGGTCGTGAATTTATGCATTCAGCCAGCCTGAGGGGCTCACGCAGCAGGCACAGCCCAGACCCAGGAGCTGCTGCAGCCAGAAAGGCAGTGATCGCCTTACACAGACGGATGGGAAGGAGCAGAGCACCAAGTGCAGGGGTAATTAAGTCGCGGGGTGTAAGTGCTGTGGGTGGCCCGCTCCCGACACTCTGGTCCACCCTGAATTTTAAAGGAATTGGACCCTGAGTCTGGGCGTGGCAAACCCAAGTTCTGCCTTGGTTGTAGTTGGTGACAAAGAGGGAGGGGGAGGAATCCAACCCCAAAGCAGCAGCGACGGCTTTTACACTGATTCTCACGTAACTCTCAGAAGTGCTCTGTGGTTATGTGACTTGCCTGAGTCTCCAAAACTGACACTCAGGGGGCCTCCTCGCATCTTAAGAGTATAGAAGGGAGAAACTCTTACTTTCTGAGACTATACATTAACACAAGCATTTGATTTTTTGGT